AATTTGACTTGGTTGTTTATCTCTCAGGTCCAAAAGCTTCACACACATTGCACTGACAATATAATAGCATTCTGATTAACCTTTACCAAAACACTAATTTATCCCTCATAAAAAGCATTGTCGTCCTCATAAATCTGATATTATGGCAATGCAATTATAGAAGCTGATTAATTTAGTTCACTTAGTTAATTAACTTATTTTCATCCTTTAATATTCCTATTGCTGATAAATCTTCACTCTCTTTTATTGAACAATTTTTTGTGGTTTTAGGAATCTTGCTCTATAACTTATTATAAAAAACTTAATTTTTAGTGGTAACTTTTGTCACTCCTAAAAATTTTCAATAATAAGAAAAAGTCATTGTGAGAACTTTTATCGTTGACTTTATTTGTGACAATAGTAAAAGCCATCACTAAAAATATGCAATCAATGATGACAAATGTTGTCACAAAAAGAAAAAATTATTACAAAAAGATAGTCATAATTAAAAGTTGAGAAATGTTAAAAAGTGATATTAATATACCCTACCACATGACACCATATTACCCTCCCATGTGGCACATGTCACTATTATGTGGCTTCGCCACCTCACGCCATGTGTCCTTTATGGTTTAAACTTATAACCTCCTTCATTTGCATCTTACTATATTTTCATTGAGTTATAAATCTATTGTTGCATAATTTAATATATATATATATATATATATATATATCTATGTATGTATGTATGTTATTAAATTAAACAAACACACATATAACTAGATAACATTTGATTTGTTATGTAAGTCAATTAAACACATATATATTACATATAAAATATTATAAAATACTATTATTATGATTAAATACTTCAATTTAATTTTTTTAATTTATTAAAATTTTGAATTATATTATCTATTTTGTCTAAAATAAACTATAGATATAATTGATATAATAGTTAAAGTCACTACTGAAAGTTACACTTTTTGTAATAACTCTAAAAAATTATCACTAATTGTAAATTTTTTACGTGTCATTGAAACTTAAACTTTTAGCATAGACAAGCATAGGTTGTTATTGAAAATTTAACAATCATTAATAACTTTATATTATTATTATAGGAAGTCATACTTTCAACTATAACTTTAGCTATTGTTATAGAAAATTAAACTGTCAATGGCAATTTTTATGTTGATCATAAATTATTCACAAAAGTTACTGTTGACAGTCATGTTTCTTTTTATAGTGATTGTAATGTTTCATCTTTTTTATGTATATATAATATTATTTTGTTTTGCTTAAAAAAATAATAAAAATTGCAATAAGAAGTAACGAAGACAATGCATGATGATGTGATGATTAAATATAGTCAAACTAGTTGATAAATAGTAGTTATTAACGCATCGCTATAGTTATTTGGTCCCGAAATAAAAAAACTGAAGGTGTTTGTTCATCTGGGAATGTTTGACAAAGATATTAGTCATTTTATTATTTTAAAGGGTAAATTAGTAAGTTATTTCTGAATTTTAGATCATGTCGTATGTTAGATTTTGAACTTATTTATTGTATAAATTATTTATTTAATTATAAAAAAATAGTGTAATTAACTCCTGCCATTAATAAAAGTTAATTTTAATTGTTAGTTGATCAAAAAATGATATAAAAATTATAAAAAAGACCAAAAAATTGCTAAAAATTATCAAAAAATTATAATAAATGATTCAAAAATTATAAACAATGACTCCAAAAATTATAAAAAATAACCAAAATTGATCTTTTTTTATAACTCTTGAAGTTATTTTCTATTATTTTATGATAAACTAAAAAAAGTGGAATAAAAGACTCGCACTTATTATTCACCCTTATAAACGTTGCTTACAATTTTTATATTCATGTGATTTTTTTATTTTGCAAGAAGATCCAATCTTCATTGGGGTCTTTGTATACATTAGAGAAGTTATAGTGTATTTCATTCTTCATGTTATAAATGAGAGGCTGAAATGTGGTTTTAATTCGTTAATTTTATACAAATTTTTATTTTAGTCTTTATATTATAAAGTGTATTTTTTTAATTTTTTTAACCCTAATCCTATTAGTTTTATTAACAAAAAAATTTCTTATAATGAACTTTTAATTATTAATAAAAAAATTTAAATGTTAACATATTAAATTTAATTTGTAAAATAATAATGACTGTCACAACAAATAATCATTTGAGATTGATATTTTTAGGGTTAAAAGACTAAAAACACACTTTATAAAATAAAATGATCAAACTAAAACTTTTTATAAAATTAGAATACCAAAAATATATTATAACCTAAATAATATCCTCGTCGTTGGATTCGGTTGCTGACCCCACAACTGATTCATAAACAGCTGAAACATTCTCCTGGCCTCAACAATTAGTGTGAATTTAATTTCTTTTACGTGTGACTATTATGTTTTAATTTATTTGACTTTCTCACATGAAAGAAATCAATAACTGAATTGTTAAAAAATAGTTCTTTCTTTTCTTTGATTTTTTAATGCTAGAAGAAGGCAAGATTTTAGAGAAACATTTTTGTAAGAGATAACTACATTTAATATTTGACCATGCCTTAAATAATATTATCTTTAATAAAAAATACTTATAGTGAATAAAAAAATTAGTACAACAGAAAATCCAATTGCAATTTCTTTGATTACGAAGATTGCATTCATTCCATGACTTTTTTGACCCCCAAGTGGTCAATACATCTATTAGGTTCTATACAAGCATGATTAAGAATAATTGACCGATCATTTACATAAACTTCGCTAAGTTTCTTTAGCAAGTTTGACAAAAGGATAATTCTTGAAATATTCCCTTGAGATTTAACTTTGAATTTTAGTAGAATCAATCAACAATCTAATTTTCATGTAACCTCACATCTTGTGATATCCCAAATTCTTACCTTTTGAGTTAATCAAGTTAATAATATTTTAAAAGAATTTGAGGGTATTTAAATACATTAGGAAATGATTTTATAATCAATTAAGTTTTGGAAGAAGATAAAAAATGAACTGTCTTTGTAATTAAAGATTTTCAAAAAATAAATAATAATATTTATGAGTAATTCTTTTTATATTTGAAAGTAAACCTCAAGCTTTTTATGGAATTCTAATTCACTATTTTTGAGAATGTATAAAATTAATTATGAATTTTTGAAGTTGGGCCACTAAAGTTGTATTGTCAATTGTAGCTAATGGATGAATCTGTTGTGGCTAATGATCAAGAATAAACTCTCCAATCTTCACACCAACAATGGAGTTTGTAATTGGACCAATATTTTTTAAACAAGATTGGATATTGAACCAATTAACAGTTTATAGTTCATATGGTTTAATTAGATTGGATCAATGGTCAAACTGGTAATATAATAATTAAATTAAAAAATTATATATGTATATAATAATCTAAATATAAGAAATAAATACAAAATTATTATTTACCTTAAAAATAAAATCAAGTATTTTAAGTTTATTATGAATTAATAAGCTATACGATGCAATATAACATTAAATGATTAAAAAAATTAGTCATTTTTTAAAAAAAATTAATAAAAAATAAAAAAGGGCATTTTTTTGAACAGCTTGATTTTTGAAAGTTGGATCTGGTTCTCAGCTTGATCTCCATTCCTGATTCGTCCGTCAGTCCAAAGCAGTCCAATCCTACTCAACTCCCCATATAGTTTTTTTAGCTTAACCGAGCCGTTAGCTTGATCAGTCGAACTATTTGGTTCAGTTTGATTTTTTAACCATTAAATTGGACCAACTATAAAGTATGTAAATGTAATGTTGAAATGGAATATCCAAAATATGCCATATTCCTTGCTTGAAGAAACCTAGGCTCTGCTAATGGGAGCCAAAAGTAGCGATGTAAGGACAGAGGGGGGCATTAGTGTGTGTTATTTGATGTTTGATGATTAATAAAATTGATTCGTTTTGGCCAAGAAAAAAAGGGACCGAGGGGAGCACAAAATCAATAATCTGAGTGTCTCTCTTATTAATCATGAGGTTAAAAAAAGTAATTTCAAACAATTTATGCCAACGAAGTCCCTTAAAACTTCATAATAATTAATACAATTCATGGTACTTTATTGTTATTTGTTTACCTGGGAGTTACTTTTCTGTCCTTCTCCCAAAATAAAAAGTCATGAAGTTATACTTTCAATTTTTAAGAAATAATGATTAGATGGGAATACTCTTCCACATGAAATTAGATTTTCAAATCTTTTGATTGTTCAAGGCATTGCCATCACCTCTTGTCAAATCTTTCACATGAAAGATTAGCATTCCTGATATTCGCGTGAATAAAAGAACAAAATTTGACTTCTTGGATAAACCACTGAAATAATATAGCTATGGGCGTGAATATTCAAATGGCTAAAGGTGGGAATCAGGGCTGGGTTTTAGTTTGAACAGACTGAATTCAAATAAGCTCAACTTTTTAAAAAACCCAAATAATCAATCTCACTTTAAATTTTTTTTGGGTTTCGTACGATCTAAATATTTAAATTTTATTTTTAAAATTATTTTCACTTAATTTTTTTACTTTAAAATTAATTATTTTATTTTATATTTTTTAAATACTTAAATAATTTATAAGACTCACATATGTGACATTTTAATATAAAATAACTTAAAATTTAAAAAATTATTTAATATTTATTATATTTTAAATATTTTTTAAAAATATAATTTTTTTTTATTTGAGTATTTGAAATTGGGCTTGGCTGAAAATTTTTTCAGTGTATAGGCCTTAATACAAAAAAAATTAATTTTTTTAAACTTGATCTTAAATTGTTTAAATTGAGTTTGAGCTAACTTGTAAAATTTGATTCGAATTATTAGCTCTGCATGGTAAAAGAACCAAACTGGGCTTGCCGGGTCCCACAACATAAAGAAAAGTCCAAATGGGGCCGTCCTCTTCAAAGAGAGCTCTCTCTCTCTCTCTCTCTCTCTCGCTCGCTCTAATGCAATGCATATCAATTCCTTGCGAAAATCCCACAACTTTGAAAATGAGATACACCGACTCTTCCTTTTCCCCAATTCTTTCATACCAGCTAATCTAATAGGATAATACTTGACGGCCACATCATCAACAGCGTCACCACCTTCTTTTTTGTTGTCTTGCTGATATGAATCTCGCCGGACTTGCTTCATCTTCTTCCTGATTCAGCAGCCAAACAGGGGAATTGGGAAGCTTAATTATGGAGGCCGCCACCACCACCACCCAAACAGGGAAGATACATGTTGCTGTCAGCAATGATCTGCAAGATGGAATCAAAACCTTGAATTGGGCTCTCAGTAAATGGAAGTCTCATCCTATTTCCATTGTTATTCTCTATGTCAGTCACAACACATCCAAGGATCACGTTTATACCCCATGTAAGTTTCTCACCCAGAAACTTTTCTCATAATCTCTCTTGTCTTCTCGATTCTCCTTCAAATTCAACTGGGATCGTTTTGCAGTTGGGAAACTCCCTGCAAGATCAGTGAACGATGAGATGTTACCAGCTCTCAGGAAGTTAGAGCAAGATAAAATCGACAGGCAGCTCTCTAAGTACGTAGCTTTCTGCGGGAAGGTTTGTAAGCTCCCCCCCCCTTCTCTAGTATAATCATTTCTCAATTGACTCGATGATGAATTGATAATTATCCCACAGGTACCAGCTGAAATACTCAAAGTCGAGAAATTCGATGAACCTATCCAAAAACGCATCACAGACTTGATTCTCGGTCTAGAGATAACCAAATTGGTCATTGGATTTTCAGTGATGAAGCCCTCCTGGTATTCTCTTTTCCTCTTGCCTTCGTTTTTTCCTTGTTTTCCCACAGAGAAATCAGAGTAATTCTAAGCAGGATTTTCTTTTTTTGTTCTTGTGGTGTATTTGTATATAGGAAATCAAAAGGTGCCATAAGCGGATTGTTCTATATTCATCAGCATAAGCCAGACTTCTGCGAACTGTTCATCTTATGTGGAGGGAAACAAGTATTCATGAGAGGATCACGGAACGATGAAAAGATCATGGAGGACGATAATGGGTTCGTGGTTGCTAGAATGAGAGACAAGATAACGTTCAAAGATTGGTTAGAGAAAGTGTTGCCTGAGGGAAAGGTGGATTCCCCTGCAGATTCTAGAAGCCGTCGTGGATTAGCAGCGAGTATGGAATCCCCAGGTTCACAGAACCAGTGGGAATTCTATCGCCAAGAAATTGAAACTTATTTCCAGGATTTGTTGTCTTCTAACACGAATGAACAAACTAGCCTTGAGCATCCAGACAGTGACGTCTCGAGGATTAGTGCAAATGAACCAGATGATGTCATTGAACAGAACAATTCTAATCTGGTAAGTTAAACCAATGGTCTCTCTTAGATATTTTATCAAACAAGTGGCCGTCACTTTGCCTGTAAAAAGTTGTCTGCTTCGTTTTGTTTCGCTTCGTTTCTTCTGAGGCGCAGTTAGAGGAAGAAATATGCTTTATTATTTATTATATGTTCCCCATTTTTTATTATCAGAGAAACTACTAATTTTTTAAAATAAAATCACCCATTTTATAATTCATATTTTTTAAATCATTCTTTATAATTTACATTAATAAAAAATAATTAATATATATTTATATTGAATAAAATAAGATATTTTAATTTAATTTTTTAAAAATATAATTATTATAATTAATTAATTTTTTAAATTATAGCATGCAGTTTTATATACGTGTGTGTGTATACATGAAGGGACTATTAAAAAGGGGTGGAAAAGGGCAGGAAAAAAACTTAAAAAGGTGGTTGTGTGTGAAAGTCAGAAATAACCATCTGCTTTCAATGATTTTGTCTTGATACTTTTCCTGATTTCCAGCTTGACTCTATTTACATTTAATTCTTCTATGGGACCCATTAAGAATTGGGTCCTGAATCACATGGATGCTGTCTTCCAATTCTCAGTTCTCACCAACCAAAAGAGGGGGAAAACCAAGAATTTAACTCATCCTCTATAGAATTGTGGGTCAAACCTTATTGTTGATGTGAGAAATTTTATTAATGAATGATCTGTTAGCATTCTTTGAGTTTGAGACATGCTCAGGGTACAGTGAGCATTTTGATCTCAATTCATCTAATCTTTTCTTCACAAAGAAAGTAGGAAAAAGGGATAAACTTGTATTGAACTTATAAAAAGGAGTTAGTCTCTTATAAAGCAGGCAAAAGTTTCGAATCTAAATTCAAAAAAATGCTCATATTTAATATGATTTGAGTGATTGCCTTTAGTAGGAAGATGGGTGTGCCAAATAAAACAAAAATGTGGAAAAAATGCAATTTCGAATTCATAGTTTTATTTTGTTGGCCTTTTTTTCTTTTCCTCCTCCTGAAAATAAAATACGAAGGTTTGGTGCAATGGAGGAAATTAATATTGTGAGAATACTTAAATTTGTTTCTTCTTTGGGCAGAGGGGAGGGGAAAAAATTGAGACGCTGACGAGAAAACTGGAGGAGGCGCATAAGATGATCCAATTGAAGAGGAAAGAAGCAAAAGAGCACTGTGATAGACGTGCAAAAGCTGAATGGGCCGTTTGTTTATGCAACTCTCGGGTAATTTTTCCAACCTTGTAATTGTATATTCTCAACCTCCTATTTTCTTTCTCTTTTTTTAATAAATAAATGCTTGACTCACACCTCATCCGACTCGACTACGGCTACTTGAACTAGCTTGACGTGTTTTTTTTTTTTAATTTGCCTACTCATAATTTAATGAGAATGATTTATTTTTATGTATAATTTAAAGTGTATTATAATCTAACATTGGTTTGGCTTCTTTATATATGATTAATATTTTTGAGGATCAGTGACTAGTTCTAATTTAGGTATTATCAAAACTAAATAAGAATATAAAAGTAAAATAAGCTTTTAGCAAAAGCAATGAAAAAAGGGACTCCCTCCCACGTGTTTCTTTCTCTTCGTTTTTCTTTATTTCTTTATTGTTGTCATTTTGGGTCGGAAATGTGTTTCTCTTTCCTAGCAAGGACAGACAAATTGGGACGATTTTGGAGAAGCAGAAAATTGCATGCCTTTTATCTGTTTCACTCTTCTACTCTGAATTTCTGATCCATTAATTCATCGCTCTTCTTTTAAGTCAATACGCAACATTGCCTCTCTTATCTTTAGAAAGAAGCTTTGTCGTCCAACACAATTTCTACAAAAACCACCCCTCTTATAAGATCAACAAAATTAAAAATTTTATTATAAGAGACTAGATTATCACATTTAATTATATAATTAAAAAAGTGAATATGTGTGTTGATTTTTTTGCCCATCAGAGATAATTTTAATATTATTATCTTCAACGTACTTCCTTAAATTTAATGATTTTTAATATGATCTGACTTTTTTATCCTTACATCATTTTTTCGTGATCCTGTAACTACTTAGTCTCTCCCTTTTTCAGAAATGGCTTAAACACTTGCTTTATATGTCGCCAAGCAACTTGCTCACCATGCCATTTTGCAGGCTCAGGAACTTGAAAGCAAAATAAAGGAAGAAATCGGCATGAAGGAGGAGCTGGCCAAAGAATTGGAAGCCGAGAAAGAAATTACATTCGAAACCAGACGTGATATTGAGGAAAGCGGGAAAAGGTTGAGCTCGCTGCTGGAGCTTCAATCGGAGCTCTCAAACAAGCTTCAGATCTCCACACAGGCAAGGTCAGAAGCCGAAATCCAATTGGAGAATGCAGCGAACTCCAGGTCGGAGATGGTGGCTGAGATAGACGAGCTCAGGAGACAAAGAGACGTGCTTTACAGAAGGATAGAGTTCTGTAAAGAAAAGGACGCCATAGGAATGGCGGCCAGGCTGACTGAACCCAGTTTCAGTTTCAGAGAGTACACGACCCACGAGATCAGGTTGGCCACCGACGACTTCTCCGACCGCCTCCTGTTGAAGTCCGGTGGCGCCGACTGGACCGACGTCTATAGAGGAAAAATCAACCATTCCACAGTAGCCATCAAGATGCTCACTTCCACCCATGTCTTGTCCCCACAAGAATTCCAAGCTAAGGTAATTTTTTTTTTTTTTTTTACCATCAAGAATCAGCCAATTAATCCTTCTCCACCTATATATATATATATATATATATATATATATAATATTTGGTGTAAACTTATCAGGTGAGACTACTGGGTAGCATTCGACATCCTCACGTGGTGGCTATGGTGGGGTTCTGCACCGAGCTCAAATGCGTAGTTCTAGAATATATGAACAATGGGAGCCTGAGGGACATGCTATTTTCCAGAAGAAGAAACCGGGCCTTGGGTTGGCAAGACCGAATTAGGATAGCCGCAGAAGTTTGCTCGGGCCTGGCCTTTCTTCACTCGGCCCAGCCCATGCCCTTCGTTCATGGCCACTTAACTCCTTCCAGTATCCTCCTTGATCGCAATCTAGTTGCAAAAATCAAAGGCTTTGGGTCTAAAGAAGGCAGCCTAGAAGCAGACGTAAGGGCCTTCGGAGTCTTGATCATGCATCTCTTGACAGGAAGAAACTGGGTGGGTCTCGTTGAGGGCGAGGTGATGATGGGAGAAGATTTGGTTAAAGTTTTGGATGAGACAGCTGGGCCGTGGCCCATGAAAGTAGCCCAAAAGCTAGCAGGGCTAGCCGCGAAGTGTATGGGCTTTCCCAATGGGCCTCAGCCCAAGGAAGGATTGTGCATGGGAAATGCAATGATGGAACTAAATGAGATCAGAAGAGAGGCAAATCACGAAGTTGCAAGAGGAGACACGACGAGATTCACCGGAAGTGTAGATAGGGAAGATCTGATGGATGTGCCCAATGTTTTTCTTTGTCCCATACTTCAGGTAAACATGTTTGTGTTGTGGACTTTTTTTTGACAAATATATATATAATTAATAAATCCATAAGAATTGTATTAAAAATAAATAAATTCACAAGAATTTGATTATCAACATTATGCTGATGTAATGTTGGATTGGATGCAGGAGGTAATGAAGAACCCACACGTGGCAGCAGATGGGTTTTCATATGAATTAGAAGCAATAGAAGCATGGGTTGGTTCAGGGCATGATAGATCGCCAATGACAAATGCAAGACTAGCTCACTTGTTCTTTACCCCTAATCACTCTCTTCGCTCCTTAATTCGGGACTGGCAAACCAAAAGATCTTCTAAATTTGCAAATTAGTACTCCACTTTATATATACTATACAGAGTTCAGCCATCTTCAAGATTTTTTTTTTTTTTTCAACTCACAATTTTCTGTATGCAATTTTTACAAATCAATTAGATTATTTGCATTTTGTAATGTACACGAAAATTGTTGTCCATATTGCCGATGGAATTGGAAGGACTGTGGCATTGAAATATAGTAAAAAAGTGTTTTTTATTTTTTTTATTTAAAGAATGGATTGTATTAATCTTTGTAAGCCTTTTAACTGATAAAAGAAGTTCACTTGGTATTGTTTATTGCTTGTAATGAATAAAAGCTAATTCCTTCAATTAATTTCCTAAGGTGGGTTCTCCAAACATTGAAAATTTTTTTTTGTGTTATTTTTAATATGAGAAAATTCAGATATGTGCTTATTTTGAAATTCACTATTTCCCTGTTAAAAAAGGAGAAAAAAAACTTGGCCAATGCATTTCTTTTATACAAACACACATAAATTTATATGAGTTGAGTTTTAAGGGCTCATTAAAGTTAGGACATGCCTTCAAACTTAAAGAGTGTTTACAAATATACTTATAAGTCATTAATCAATAAAGTTGTTACATCAATAATGAGATTTGAACTAATAACCTTATAGTTTAGGGGCTAAATTTTTATCAATTGAATCAATCTTTATTAATAAAAGCATTTCTAACAATGTACTGACATTGTAACGTGCATCATATGTTGGTTAGTGGACAACCTATGCAAGAATTGGGCTTGACTTGGACCTGAGACGAAAATGTTAAAGAGTTCTAATGTTCTTTGAGGACTTGCATAAAATCTTCAAATTTGAAAAGTATGGGAGAGAATTTGACACCCCTAAAATCTTTGAAAAAATTGGTCAAAAAGACCACAAGGTAAACATATTTGAATATCAAAGCAACAAATCAAAAGGTTTGACCACCCACTTTTGTAGTCGGACCTCACCTCTACGGCTCTACCACAATTAACACGCTTAAATCTAAATATGGTAATGTGAAGTCAACATAATTTATGCGACTCGCTATGACTGCAATGTCTTCAATTATAACATTAACATCAACATTCTGCAATATTTTCATACATGGAGTAAGTGTTGGAAAATCAACAAGTTTTGAAGAGGAAACAGGCATAGTCAATGGAGACAAGTTTTTCGGTCAACCTGTCAATTTAAATGCTATTTATAAATATGGTATTAGAAAGTAATATCTCGTGGTCTCTTTCTAAAACCATATAAATACCAATTGATACTCGGAGGAGCAAGGGAGCCGTTCATTTCAGAACGTTTTTATTTTTTAGAGCATTTTGAGAATGTTTTTAGAGCCTTTTTTTTTTGGCTATTTGTGTTACTAGAATTTGTCACATGGGAACCACTATTTGTTTACGTCTTGAATATTTAACAATAATAAATCCATCAAACCCATATCAAATGATAAATTATAAAATCAACATATGTTTAAATTAATCACATAAAAACAAGTCAAATAATAAATTATAAAATAAACTTATGTTTAAATTATCTTGTTGTGTAGACTACTTCTGGGGTTCTTTTGCTTACTTGTCTCCACACTATATTTGAAGAACAAAGTAAGCAGGTGCATTTACATTGATGTCTAATTGTCTATGAGCTTATCACAACCATATCAAATAATAAATTGTCAAATAAACTTATGTTTAGATTAATATTTTTAGGAATATATTTATTGAACTAAATAATCTTTTTAATTATAATTATGTGAGATTTAAAATTGAGTTAAATTTAAGTATTGTGGAACAACTTTTTCAAGGACTTTTTTTAATATTCATGGTATTCTAGTCACAATTATATTCTGACAAGTTATACCATACTAACAAACCTTTTTTATAATAAGTATTTTCTCTGTTAAAAAATATAAGATATTTTTTTGAAAGTTGGATGTTTAAAAATGTAAGATTTTTTTTAGTTATTCGAGATGTAATCATTATTTTTTTAAAAGTGCTTCTATTAATAATGACTTTTTATTTATTGTAGGTTGTCTAATAGGGTTAAATATAAAAAAGATAGGATTAGTTTGAAAGTAAGTAATTATTTTATTGAGGGTGAGATTCGGTTAAAAATGTCTTATACATTTAAACAGAAGGAGTATTATATACACAATTTTACAACCTAAGATAAGGAACAAAGAGAAATTTCCTAGACCTAACTAAAAAATAGAAAATATCTTTGCATAGAGGTAATGGTAAAGCTAAGAATATAGGTAGGTAATGTTTTAAAAAAGGGAATGGATGATAAACTGTAATGGTCAACAAATCACGGTTCTCATGATCTAATTGATTAAATTAATTATTATCAAACTAATGACATAATAATTCAATAGAAAATAATATTTATATACATATATATAAATAAAATATAAAAAAATATTTATAATATCATTCACGATTTAGAATTGTTCATTCATAACATATTAAGTTTTAATTTTCTCTTTTCTTTCATTTGTATATCTTTTTATTTATGGAGAATCTCATCTAGGGCTCCCAAAGGAGAAAAAATGCAGTTAAGGCTTAATATATTCTGAAATTATTCTATAGGTTATGTTTTAGAGAGAAAATACATAATTTTCCTTAGTGAAAAAAAGCAACAAGTACAAGCTCATATTTTTACAACTATATGTTTATGAATTTACAGTTCTGGGTTCACATATTAATAAGTAATTATTCATTGAAAGTGAAACTTTTGTTTCGATAGTGGAGATGTTCATCTTAGCCAACTTAACAAATTTACAATTTAAAGTTTGAGTATTCACAAGTTTAGATTCATCTATTCACAAGTTAAAGTTTAGAATTTATGATTTTATATATTCAAAATTAAGGTTTGTTGTGACAACAAATTTAGATTCACCACTACAAGATGGATTTCTTACAACGATTATTTTAAACTTTTTACATCAAAAATATTTTTACAATTACATATTCACGAATTTATAACTTTAAGTTCATATATTAACAAATAATTATTCATTGATTGTGAAATTCTTTTATCATGACAAGAAGTTCAAATTTTTACAGCTAGATGTTTACAAATTCTCAACTTTAGGTTCACATATAATAATTAATTGTCCATTGATAATGAAAAAAAGTTCTTTTTTTTTTTTACAAATGATAATTGTGTCTCTTCTCCCTAAAATTTATTTGCAAAAAAGGTCATTGGACCTACAAAATAATTTCAAAACACATTGAACCCTAAATGAAATTTTATGGGGGGCCTTAGATGAGATTTTCTCTTTTATTTACCTTATTTTCTTAAAAGCAAATGAATTTTCAATTTTTTCTACACTTTCATTGATATAATCATATAATGTCAATAAATCAAACTATGCACACAAGATTCTACTATAATAATTCAGAAGTAAGTTGACAGTAATATTTTAAAATTGAAAAAAAAAATTATTACCAAAATAAGTGTAAAAAAAAAAGGTCCACCCCTTTTGAGTTTCAGTTTTCAAAATCCACTTAGGTCATAGAGGGCTAACATGCACCAACTACTTGAAGTACAACGGCTTAAATAATTGAACCAAATAGCTCTCTTTATTGGGTGATAGTTCAATCGTCTAGGTCTCAAAACATTGTGGGCTACGCTTGAGAGGTCTTCCATTAAAACTCATTTTATTAGAGTTCAGATTTGAGAAATCAAGCGATTTTAAAACACTCAGGCTTCTAAATCAAGCCTGATTAAACCCAATAAAGCTTTGCCAACTTTCGTTGTTCCGCTTAGAAAACTCAGATATTGGCAATCATTAGTGGCGGAATGTGAAACAAAGTTTGAGTCTATTCGAAACTACAAGACACGCAAGTGAGTTGCAGTCCATTCCTTCCTCACCAATTTGGCGAGTGAAAATTCAATTACTGCATTAACAAATGGATTCTTAAAACCAAAAAAAAAAAAACCACCATTAACTTTTAAAAATGATAAATTTTCTTGCATATCAATCCTTTCATATTTATTTTAACTGATGAAAGTAGTTCTTGATTGGACAAAAACGCTTCTATTTTGTTGTGTCACCTGGGAAGCATCAGAATTGCTGTAGAGTGCTACATTCAACTCCAATTACACTTATAGAGCGACCATACTTATGCATTATTATAATCTATGGAAAAACTGATCCACTTCTCAACCTGATCTTTCCTCTTTTATAATTTACATTAAATGGACATTAGAAGATTTAAGAAACATGTGATAGATAATCCTACCTCCACATTAATGCCTTAAAGGCCTCTCATTTTCTTTCTCACATTTCTTCTCAATTATTTTAAGAGTTCTATTGTGTTATTATTTTATCACTTGAGATCTCATGCAAAATTAAAACAAATACAATTTCAAATAAAAAAGTAAAAGAGAAACAAACACGTACTCCTGAGATATATTGCCGTTATCTCCTATCTATGATTGGTTTTCTTTATTTTTTAGCAGAAGTGCAAAACTCCCATGAACAAATAAAAGGATTTGTAGATTTTACATTGACAAATGACAAATCAAATCATCAATCAAGCCACAATACTTGTGAAAATGGTTGAGCAAGAGCTATATTTTTTAAAACAGAAAATGACGACGGAGAAGAGATGAAATAATAAAGTGGCAGTGGTAGATATGCATATTATAGAAGAATTAATTGATATAAGAAATATGAGAGATAAGCGCACCGAAATGTGGGCTAATAAACTTTAAATAAAGAGATATAATTAATAGTAATGCTTAATAAAATTTATTTACCAGTTATATAAGATATAAGCAAGTAACAAATTCTTAATAAAAATATATAATTAACAATAATGCCTAACAAGAAAAATAGTAATTGATTATATAGGAAATAAGTGAATATTTTTTGAATCCTAAGATGACAGCCTCAATGGCCTGGCGTCACACACGACCTGTTTCTTCTGCACCGGTTCAACCGTTTATTGAGCTTGTACTGTGTTTTCTGTTATTAGTTGTCCCTTATTGAGAGCCTCTCACGTGGAACTGACGTCTAGATTTTATGTTAGGAAAATCATTGCTTGACTGATTGTGTCATTCAACTTTGCCGAGGAATTCTAATTGCAATTGGTTTTGGAAAAAAATTATTTGTGTTTTATGAAATCATATGATAGATATAGATTACACTCGATCAAATTGTATTGTCTTTCAATTCCAATCTATGCTATCAAATTGTATCTTTTTCTTGTTTGAATCCCTACTTGATAATGTTTTTCTAGTATTCAAATGAACCACCTTGTGTTGGTCTATTGATTTTTTGTTTGCAGCCATGCGTGTTATCACCAATGCCACCAATTAATAAGAAATTAGTTAATGACCCTAGCATTCTATTTCTTGATAATGATGAGAAGTATCTGAATTGATAAAGATTTTTATTATCTTAAATTTAGACTTTAAAATATATATGTTTTATTTATTTTCTAAATGATGATGAGGATTTGGAGTTATTTTAATTTTTTGAGGATTTTAATTAATTTATAATATTATAATATTGTTTAAGCTTAAAATGGAGCGTCAGCTCAAAATCATAAAGAGAAAGGAAAATTAAAACGACAAGTCTAAATAAAGACAAAACTTAGTTCGTTTCCAAAAGGAATCATGCCATGCACACCTAATTTAGAAGTTTTCATTACTTTTTTTTTTTCCCATTTTCCATTAGTCAATTTTGTGCATTTTCATTTCAATTCAGATCTCTCACTTATTTTTTCATTTTCAAACATTTTTTCTCATTTTCTCCCTTGCTTTTCAATTTTTCATCCAATCTATCATCCATATCTCTCTCATTTTTCATCTAAATCACATGAAACTACTTTCATTCTTCTACTCTTTTCAATCTCGTCCAAACCCTCTAAATAATTCAAAGATTGAAAGCTCAAATCAATTATGAGAGAAGGCAAGAGTTTCATCTAGATGTGGAAAAGCTTGATGGCTTCAATTATGATGACGAAAAGCTAGAGATCATGGAGGATTTCTAGGAAGGAGATGAAAAAGATAGAGTTCACACCTTTTTCAATTGGCTGAGGATATTCTAACCCTAAATTCTATTCATTTTACTTCAAGTTGTAATGCTGAATTTGAGAATATCAAAAGATGTTATAATAGGATTATGTTGTTTCCAAGTTGTTGATTTGCTCTTTAGCAGAAAGTTAGCTATCTCTTGGCTCCTAGCATTTCTAAATGTTGATTCATATTGAAGTATTGTGTGAAATTCTAGCCTATTGGGAAGTTTATTATGCAATTATTTTTCAATTAAATGCAATGCTCGTAGTGTACATCTATCTTAGGTTGAGCTTGAAAAATTAAATTTGAATTGGATTGGTAGAATACCTATCTTCATAAACCATGTGTCTACACTTGTTATTTGTTGCTTTTGTGCTACACCTATATTTCATAGTATTCATGTTGTGCTTGTTATCTGTGGCCTTCACATTGTGCCTATTATTTGTATTCATGGCCTTTGAGTTACACTTGTTATTCGTGGTATACATTGTGCCAGATTTGTGATTTTGTCCTATGGGTTGTGTGGTTATGATAGATATCTTGTGCTATGTTGGTTCTTGTGAAGAAACTTTTTTTTTTGAGAAAATACTTTTATTAAACTCTTATTATCAAGTGAAAATTATTTTTTAAAATCTTGTTTTGTTTTTTATCTTTGATGGTACAATTTATTAGGGGTGTTCACGGGACGAGACCTATATCTTGTGTCCCGTCCGGAAAAAAGTTTGAGACTAAATTTTGTCATGTGTCCTATCTCGTTAGGAATTGAGATAGGATCAAGATAAGATCGGGATGACAGGACGTCTTGATAAATTAGATAATGTCGAAGAAAGATCTAAATAATAATATTTATTAAAATTTTAAATCATATTACTTATTAAATTTAAAATCAAAACAACATAATTACGTAAATTACAACAATTTAAAGTCAATTATTAAATTACACTAATCACAATTATGATGGTAATTACAAGTAATCTTTAGGTTATAAGAGTAACAATAACAGGCAAGCACAACATTAAATTATAGTTCTTCTACTTTAGTTGAGATATGTTAAGCTAATTACTCTTTCAAAAATAAAAAAAAAATACAATAAAAATAAAAGTTATTAAATAAATAGATATAAGAATAAATTGTATCAATATAATTAATATATTATAAAAAAGATATTACCTTGTTTACTTTATATCATTAAAATTATTAATATAAAAACTTCAGTTTTATATAAAATTTTTTGATATTAAAATTATAATTGATATTATTAATATAAGTATAAATTATATTAATATAATTAATATATTTAATGTATATTTTAAAATAAAAATAATATATATAGTATTCGAGACGGGATGAGATGTCCCAATGGTAATCTCGTATGCCGTCTCATTCCAAACTCATTTTTTATCTTGTCTCGCAAAGTCTCATCTTGATTATTTTTGGGTTAGGACGAGACTCATCTCGATATGATTAGGACGATATTGAATTAATTGAAATGGATACAAGTTAAACACCCCTACCATTTACCTATTATATACGGCGTGTATTGTATAGATAAATATGTTTCCATGTTGATTTCTGTGTACTTTAAGTGTTTTAAAAGATTTTAAATTATCAATGTGTGATTCTCATCTTGAAAAAATTAAAATGGATGTGTTATTTATTTATTATTTATGATTTAATTATTAACCATCAACCTTGTTATCATGCACTTATTGAATTATTTGTTTTAGATAATAGAAACTATCACCTCCTTCATCTACTTTATAAAGCACCTTTGTTGGATAATTGTAAAGCTAAATTTATAGTAAATTTGAATTATTGTCTTGTAATATTCCATAATTGCTCCAAACAATAGGTAAGATATTTACCTCCTTATTTTTATTATTCATAAATTGAGGTAATTCTCGAATTTTGTTTTGCTGGATTGTTTAATTATTTTAAATATATTTTTTATTTGACTTGGAAGCAGATTTATTGAATTTTTTCTAATTGTAATTAAGAATGCACACACACATGTTTTGATTAGGCTTATGAATCGTGCCACTGTTGATGGTGTGACATATTTGATATTAATATTAGAGTTATATTCCCCCCACTGCCTTTGGTCTATTTAGTTTTAATTTGAATGATCTTAAGTTAAAATATTTATTTTTTTATATTTATTAAAGAAATTATAAATTTTTTTAATAAACATGTTTTATTACTAATATGAGTTAGATTTAATATAGTTAATTCAAATTGAATGTTTAAAATTGAGAAAACATAACTTTAGATCCTTCCATTTTATTACACGTCTCTGCACTTTTTTAATATTTTAAATTTTTACATTTTTATATTTTGGTATTTTTGGTTTGTCCTTGAAAAACATATAAAGATTTTGTAAAGACCTAAAATATTTAAAAATAAAAATGTAGAGACTTATAGTATAAAAAAAATATGAGAACCTATAACAAAACTCAGCAAATGGCAGGAATTTTTTCCTTAAAAACATTAAAAATTAATATTAAATTTAGATCATCTATATTAAATCAGAACTACTTAAACTGATAATTATATTTAATAATTTTTTTATAAATAGACCATTCAAATATACCTTGAATAATACAAATTTAATATTAAAATTATAAAAAAAATTTAATATTAAAATTTGATCATTTATATTAAATTTAGATTATTTAAATTTATAATTAAATTTAAATAAAAATTTTATAAATTTTTTATTTTAATAAATATAAAATTAAAATTAAAATATTTAATTTAATTATTTAAATTTAATTTGAATAGTTTAAATTTAATGGGGGTATGGGATTGGGAGGAGAGGGAAGAAACCCGTTCATTAATATTGTGGTGTTTTTTGTCAAATTAATATTTTAGTTTTTATACATAATATTATTTTTTATTTAATTGTTTGGTTTTTAAAAAATAGTTAATTGTTAACATGTTATCAGTAGTATTTTCTGCAGGTTACTGGACAAGTCGTTCTGCTGGAGAGACACCTTTGCCATTGTTGCATCCTGTCTCTCCAGTCCACCATAGCGCGCATGCTTTCCTGAAACGACCGACCACAACATCATCAACGAATAGCGAAAATTCAGGAAAGAAGTAGAAGCAGTGGTCATCACAACGGCGAGAGTCGAGACCATGGCGGCGGCAGCTGATGAGTCGTCGTCGTTTACTTCGTCCTCTATCTTCTCCCAGAAAAGCTCCAGGCTTCCTGACGACACCGTCTTCTATGCCATTTTTCCCGACTTAATACTCAACCCCACTACCCCCAATGATCAGTCCTCCCTCCAATCCCTTCACCTTCAAATCATTCAATCTCTCTCCCCCTTCACCACTGACTACATCTGGCAGCACGAGCCCTTCACTCTTTCCCTCTCTTCTACTCCCAAATCCTCTTGTTTCTGCTCCTCCGACCTCCCTCATCTCCATGGCAAGGTTCGCTTCGGTGACAACCTCGAGGACGAGTGGTTCACCGTCTTCCTTCTATTCCAAATCTCTCTTCACTTCCCCTCTCTCTCCATCAGAGTTTGGGACACTGATGGCGAGTTCTTGCTCATTGAGGCAGCTTTTCATCTCCCTCGCTGGGTTAACCCCGATAATAGCCTCAATCGTGTCTTCATTCGCCAAGGTGACCTTCATATTGTTCCGCGTAATCGGCTTCCGAGCCCCAGTTTGGCTGATTCATTGAAATTTTTGGTCCGCTGTGGAGCCGAATCGAGATCGTCGGAGTCGGTTCAGAAGGCGGTTAAAAAAAAGATTTCGGATTACCCGGATAGAGCGAGGAAGAATATGCATAGGGTCAGGGTCAGGGTTCCCGTTTCAGTTGCGCAGGTTTTGAAGCAGGAGCCTTGCATGATTTCGCTTGCTGTGGAGGGGTTTTATGACAGGGATATTGATACCATGAAGTTTGCGGCGACCATGGAGAAATTCTTGGGTAGAGGGAAAGATGAAGAAATGGTCTGTGTTTCTGTGAAGATGTCTAGGGCCATGTATGCACAATTAGTGCAGCAAACGTTTCAAGCGCCAAAATGTTTTCCAATGCCGAGTAGGAGCGACTTGTCGGTGTACATGGAAGCAGAGTTGGGTATGAAAATAGCTTGTGGGTTCGAGATGATGTATCAGCAGCGGAAGCGTGATGGAGTGGAAGGGAAAGGGAGCACGTGGGAGGCGTTTAAGCAGACTCTGGAGAGGAGTGGTTATTTCCAAGGGCTGCTTCCAGGTTCCAAAGAGTATCAGAGGTTAATGCAAAATGCCGAGGAGTATTATAGAAACAATTCCTTGTACTCTAGAGTCAGGTATGTCCTCCTTGTTGACATTTACCAGTACCACTGAAATATACTAAGTCAGGACCAATAAAATGAAGATATGCCATTGTATCTGAAGAAAGCCGTCAATTCAAATGGGTTTTTCAGAGAGTTATAACGTAATGAGTGTTTGGGGAGAAGTAGGCTCTGGGGCAGTATAGATTTTTGAACTTAATTCAAATTTGGGAATGATTTATATTTGGCTTGTTCAACAATTTGGTCTATGTGTTATAGAATTTGGATCTTCTTTTGGAATTCTCTCCATTTGTCTCAATTCTAATTTATATTCGTTGGCTTGATCCGAGTTGTTGTTATCTTTTTGACCCCCCTAAATCAGAAGGATGCAATATCTATTTCTTTCCCTTTTTGTTTGAATTACAAATATGTAAAATTGATCAATCTAAACCATTTAGATTGATCTAATGATTAGAAATTAGAATTGAGATAGATCTGAGGAAATTTCACCTTGAGAGAATCCACATACATGGTTCATAATCTCAAAGTCGGCTTCCTATTCCCCTTGGGAAAAAAAAGAAAGGGGGGTGGGGGTTGAGTTCCGTGGGGTATGTTTTATGCTTTTAGCTCACGACTTAGTCTTGGTTTCTTTTTTATTATATGCTAATGTGAAAATTTGTTGCAGTGACTTGATGAGTGCTCCTGTTAGACGGATAGATGAAATTCTTGCTTTACCACATTCAGTGGATGATTTTAAGAATCAGAAGGTCCCTCCATCTGATGATGATTCATGGCTTTATAATGGAGAAGAAGAGTTGACCTCTGCTCTTCTTGAAAGACAAAAGGAGATGGAACTTTATGACCTTAAACAGAAGAAAGGGAAAGGGAAAGAGAAGCAAGATCTATCATCTGTTTCTAATGCTAGAGAGTTTGATCCTGGTGATATGGCAAAAACTATGCAAGCTTTTGTCCACAAAGTGTCAAGTTACAAGGGAGCTGAAGCTCCTGAAAGCATGTTAGTTTAATCATGAACTTGTTTTTATATATCTGATATTCATTCTGCACCAATAGTGTGTGCATCTTTTTCATGTTATGTTTGGGACATGGCACGTTTTTCATTAATGAGATCAAGCCAAAGATATTGAGTGAGTTCCATGGGCATTATTTCTCGGAGGTCTGAGTACAGGGGCTAGTATTCCATGTCATATAAACCTCCACTTTTCTTTCTTTCTTTCTTGGTTTTCAAATTTGGAAACACTCGTACCATTTGTTGTGCAGTGTTGAGTACTCATAATTCCACTACTTTATAATTTTTCCTTGTTATTTCATGATAACTACAAATTTGGGCTCTGCTCAACTTGATATTTTGGAGTTTTGGATACTTTTAAGATTACTTGCTGATGACTATGATGACTCCTTAATTTTATACTCTCCTGTCTTTTTAGGAATAAGGAAGTGAACCTTGATGTGGACCAATTCATTAAGGACATGGAATCAATAATGAAGCACCAAGGAGTTAAAGAAGACGACAGTGATGTTGAAGAAGGCTCCTCATCTGAACTGGACTTGGGTATGATCTTTGTGTTATAGAAACAAATGCTCTAGCCATGTGCTTACTTTGTTTTTTATTCACTGTTTGCCTCAAGCATTTTCCTGCAAAGAACATGTATTGCTCCAATCAACACCTTGCACTTTACATGTTCTAGCATATGCACGCACAATTGCATCCACATTTTAGTTCACAGCATCACTTAGGTTTGAACTTTCTTCTATTTATCTTTTTTATGTAAATTTTCCGGCTCTTTTTCTCTTCGTTTTAGTGATGAGCAGCAGCCTTAGCATGAGCTTTTGCGGTTGCTTCTCCATAATACATCAGTTTGAAAATTCTTTTTTACTATTTTTCCTCTTGGGGAATGATTCAGATAATACCCTGAGGAGGGGGAAAAAAAGAAGAAACCATCACAAAAGGTTTAAACATTTTGGTGTGGTACTTGGGTAATAAATAGAAATGCAGTCAAAAGAATAGATCTCAAACATTGTTATATTTCAAACTATGAAACTAAGTGCTGAAAGAAAATGCCAGCATCTGGTGTCATTTTTTTTCTCTTCATTCAGGCATGATATCCAAACTTCTCTGAAGTGTGAATAAGGACTTAGAATGGCACTATGTCTTGAGCTTAATTGCAAGAATGTTTTGAGCGGCATTCAGTGTATTTAACCAAGTGCTAGAAGTTGTTGTGTAATCGTTTTGGAATAAAAATCAGTATTTAATTGAGATCAAGGCGTGCAGCCTGTTTTAGCACGCAGGTAAGCAAGAAGTGTAATGATTTCCTTACGGGAAATTAATCAAATATGTGAGCAATCAGTCGTGTATGTCTGCCCCCATCATATCTCACAGGGTTTCTCACGTTTTATGAATAATTGTGTAGATGATTCTGATGAGGGTGACATGGTTGAACCTGACAACGAAGATGGTGGGGATACTTTCGTGCAGTCCTATTCTGATGCTATGAATGAAGAACTGAAGGCAACTACCCTTGGAAGAAGTTTTGTCCGTGCTAATGAACAACTTCCCAAGAAAGATGAGGTATTTTGCTTGTTTGCATGTAGAGAAATTTTACTAAATTTCTTATGGCATAATTTTTACTTGGCCTCACAAAGCCAAAAGGTAAGCATGTTTGCCAAAAACATGTCTCAACTTGGTATTGATTTGTCACCAAGAGAGTAATTTTTGTTTACCCTTTTCCCTCATTCACGTGTGATGAGGGGGAAAAACATAGAGCACCTGAAATTTCAGCTTCTATAATTTGTTCAGCAAAGTTTTACAACCGTTAAAATGCTGAATGCAGTTGAATGTATGATTTACTTTTGAAGTTAATATGCAGGGAACGTCAAATACCAGGGAAAATATGGATGAAGATTTTTCTCCCGTAGATGTAGATCTGAATTTGGTAAAAAGCTTCCTGGATTCCTTTTCTTCCCAGCAAGGGCTTCCAGGTCCCGCATCCAATTTGCTTGGGCTCATGGGGGTTCAGTTCCCACAAGATGCCGACAAGGGAAAGTGAAATTACTTGAATAACTTGGTCCAATTTTTCCATGTTTTTGGAGGTACTGCAATAATACAATCTAGATGACGTGTTTCATCACCTTTTTTCTCAAGCTCTTGGCATGTAGACAGAGATCTGCTTGATCGAGTCTAGAGAGAAAATATCAGCCATGATCTAGAATGATATTGGTTTAAATTCCGTGAGTAACGACGCATGTTATGACACAGTTGCTTTTGGAAAAAGCAAGGCAGTCAGACAGCCATCTGCTGGAAGGTGATCCGACCTGTTTATGACCACAAAATTTGTCGCCCGTTTAGAATCAGCCTTCATGAGAGATTCAAGTGCTGATGCGGTATAGCTGGTGTGTTCTATTGTTGTTTAATTGGTTGGTTGCTATGAAATTCGTATTCTTCGTAGTCATTCATTCGCCTGCAGTTGATCATTCTTGTCAGATAAATTTTGATGTCAGCAAGACAATATAGAAGCTTATTATATTAGAGTTCCTTTTTATTGTAAAATGTTCATATATTTCATAATTTTATGTTGGACGCCTTACACCAGCCATGATATTGTGACATTTGGATGGGAAAACTAGAGGAGAAAATGGTGGAGAAAGCTTTTATTGTTCCGATAGCAAGGGAAATTAGGAGGAAAAGAAAAATGGGAGAGGAATTGAGTCATGGGACCGGTATTTGTTCCCTAAATTTTTTCACCCATAGTGGAGAGATTTTGAAGAGAAACTCGTTCAGAATTATTATTACCCCCAACATCCCCTACTCTCCCTTGCGACTCCATTTCTTCAGCTGCCCGTAATTGACGTTGTGACTATTTTACAATCTACAGCCAAGAACTTCACATGTATGCTAGGAAGGTCGTGGTAAATCAGGACAAAATGAGGTGTGGAGATGAAAGTCTTTGATGATTAATAATTATTAAAGTTAATATTTTAGTTATTTGTTAAATTAATATAAAACTAAGATTTAAAAATTAAAAAAGAAAATTCACTTATCTCTGAAGATTTAAAAACCAAACCAAACGATTGGATTATCAACTAGAGCCACTAATGATATAATTTGAACCAAAAAATTATTTTTATAATTGAATTTAATTGGATTGGCATTGAGTCACTATTGAGCTAGAAAGTGGAGTTAAATATAATGTTAAAAAAGCTTAAAATATTTTAAAAAAATAAAAAAATTTAAAAATTAGATCCTATTAAAAGTTAATTTTATTTTTGAATAATTCATATGCATGAAATATGATTGAAGACAGTTTTTTTTATAAAGATATTGATAATTATAGATGTAAATACAAATGCTTTTAAATCTATTTATATATAATTTTATTAAAATCAACTTATATTTAACAAGTTATAAAATTATAATTTATAATGTTATTAATTTACAGTCATTGTGTCATTTCATAAATATATTATAGATTTTTTTCTTGTATGTATTTTATATATACATTTAATATTATTTTTATTTAATTATTACATTATCGGTTCAATCATTGATCCACCTGATTGGATCATATGAATCGTGAACTGTTAACCTTTTTTATTTAATATCTAGTTAGGTTCTAAAAACTTTCCTTGTACCAATTGTCTCTAAAGATAATAAAAAACAAACATTTTCTCTTCACCTTTTCCTTCTTTCTACCCTGTCCCTATTTTCTTCATGTTAACCGTGAACGAAACATAAAATTTTTTTGCCAAGAATTACTGTAAATTATTTTCCCATGCCTAGGGGTAGGCTCCAAATATAAAATCAAAGATACTTCACCGAATGTCATTGCTTTATTTTGAAAAGGAATATAAATGATATGCGACGCAAAATTGCATAAAATACATGTAATTGTAAGCTGATGCCTACATTCAATCATACTCCTGCTGACTTACAAACAAGCTAAAATCCACATCTTTCCCTATTTAGAAAGGACTGTTTGAAACACTACCTAAAATGAAACCAACCAAAATTTTGCATGGGATACAGAAAAAACAAAAATCGAAGAGACACTGCAAGGTATTTACAAATAGTGTCCTTTCATGGCAGCACGGCACTTCTTATGCATTCCAGGGCTAATGCCAGAGAAGATCGAATGTTTTTGTTTCTTTGGTTTAACCCCAAAGATAAATGCTCCCAAAGGAACCTGTGAACGATTACCTCTACCACTATCACTACCACTACTGTCCGAATGTCTCATCTCTGTGTTTTGTTGTTTCTTTGAACTTGTGAAGCCAAAGTCTTCGCCCATTTTTGCAAGAACCTTCTCAACTTCAGATTGCAGAGCTGATACATGATCTAGGCCTGCTTGAAGTTCATCAGCAACCTTTTTGTTCTCTTGTTTCATGTTCAGAACCTCACCTTGGAACTTGGCAGCTTGATAGCTCGTAAACTTGAAGTCGTAGTCTTCTGCGCTGGCTTTCAAGGCCTTTGTTATCTCTTCTTGGATTCCACACAAGGATGAGGATCTGTGTTGAAGTTCTTCTTTCAGAGATGCACTCTTCTCCAACCAAACTGATAACTCAGTTTGGATCTCTACAAGATGTTTGAAAATTGGTCGTGCCTCTGATTTTACAGATTGTCTGACACTCTCTGATTTCCCATTTTCCTCAAGCTTTGATACATCCGATTGCAAATCTCTTATAGTGGTTTGGAATCTTTGAATCTCAGTGAAAGTAGTGCTGAACTTCAACCAGAAACCCAAGTTCTCCTCTAGAAGTTCGTCAATGCGCCGACGGAACTTCTCTTCTATAGCTGATGTAGAGTCAGGTTGGTGAACTTTCAATATTTTTACAACATCATTATCATCTTCTTCTTCTTCTTTCTTTACGGGCTCTTTTATTGCTCTTAATTCTTCCGAGTCTTCATTTCCTTCCAAACTTCTCTCCATGAGGCCGAGCTTCCGACGCAAGAGTTTAATCTCTTCATCTTTCAAGGTAGTGGAAGACTTCATTTCTTTTAGTTTCAATGATGTGTCAAAGAGTATTTCCTGATTTTGCTTCTCTAACTCACTGAGAGTCTTCTTCATTTCTTTGTAATTCCTGAGAATATTCGTATATTCTGTCAGGAGAAGTTTCTCCTTATCCTTCATTCCATCCATAAACAGTTGCCGCCAATTAGGTTCATCTTCTTCTGCTGTTACCTGCTCCTGCGAATGAACTTCATGGGCATTCTCAGTCTTCGATGAAGATTGAGTTGCATTTTTTTCCTGCTCAGAATTACTATTTGCCTCCTCAGTTTCCTTGTGTTGGTTGAGATCCTGATCTCCTGCGGTGATACTTGAAGCAGATCTTGCTAGTGCATCACTGTTGCTAGTATTTGGAGTCTTTTCTTGTTCTTTGGGTTTCATTGGCGTTAATGTAATGAAATTTGTTAAATGTGATCTAATTACATTAAATGGAGACTGGCCTCCCGTTGAAGATGCCTCTACTTTTTCTGATGATTCCATGACCTTAAGCTTATCATCTGATTTTGCTTCGTTTTCAAGTGAATCTGAGACCTTTATTTCGTTATCCTTCTTCACATCATTATCCACCAAAGCTGCGACCTGCTCCTGCGAATGAACTTCGTCGGCATTCTCAGTATTCGATGAAGATTGGGTTGCATTCCTTTCCTGCTGCTTTCCAGAACTCTCAGAATTACTATTTGCCTTCTCACCTTCCTTTTGTTGGCTGAGATCCTGATCTCCTGATGTGATACTTGAAGCAGATCTTGCTAGTGCATCACTGTTGCCAGTATTTGGATTCTTTTCTTGTTCTTTGGGTTTCATTGGTGTTAATGCAATGACATTTGTCAAGTGCGATTTAATTGCATTAAATGGAGACAGGCCTCCTGTTGAAGACGCCTCTGCTTTTTCTGAAGATTCCATGACCTTAAGCTTATCATGTGACTTTGCTCCGTTTTCAAGTGAATCTGTGACCTTTATTTCGTTATCCTTCTTCACATCATTATCCACCAAAGCTGTGACATTAGTTTCTTCATCTTTCTGCACATTATTATCCCTCAAGCCTATGTCATTAATTTTGTTATCTTTCTGCACATCATTATCTGAAAAATCAGCGACTTCAATCTTGTTTTCTTTCTGCACATCATTATCCCCCAAGCCTAAGTCATTAATTTTGTTTTCTATCTGCACATTATTATCTGCAAATTCACCTACTCCAATCTTGTTTTCTTTCTGCATATCATTATCCACCGAACCAGAGACCTTAGGCTTCTTTTCTGACTCTGAATCATTTATTAAGACGTTTTCTTGATTCACTGCATCTTGTCTTTGAACTACATGTTCTGATACAGCTACACCTGATGATTCACTTTCTCTCTTTGATGAATCCGGGATCTCATCCCTCTTATCTGGCTTCACATTCGGAACATCCTCAGAAAGATGATCAAGATCACAAAGCACTTTAGTAAAATTGCTTTGGAGATCTGTATTCTGGGTTTCAACCATTTCGTTGAGATCTTGTATGCCCATCATCTTTTCATCCATTTCTCTGAGCTTGGTTGTCAAATCATTTTTCTCATCAATCGCTGCCTTGTCATCTTCTTGAGTTACAATCTGGGATTGAAGATCATCAGTTTCTGCTTTTAATCTTGTTACCAGAGCATCATGGGAGGAAACTGAAGTTTCTAGGCTTATTACTTTATTCACAAGCTCGTCAATCTTCTCTGCCATTTCTGTCACACTACCAGATGCAGAAGAGCCAGTCGCAAGTTGTTCTTTAATCTGGTTCTGTAATAGCTGCAACTCTTGTCTCTGTTGATTCATTCTCTCTATATCTTCATCCAAGTCCTTTACAATTTGTTTCACATTTTTCCTTGCCCTTGGCTCTGTTCTACTGATCTGATCATCATAATGTAACTTGTGCATGAGAGACTCCAACTTTTCCCTGACTGCCTTTACTCTTTTGGTCTCAATTTTGGTTTCATCAAATGATCTTTCTTGTTTCACACGCAAACGAGCCAATGTCTCTTGGCAAGTTTTAAGAGCTGCTTCTGTCATCAAACGACGAGCTACATCATCTTCAATGACCATACCTTCACCAAATTCATCCTGCAAAAGGGAAACTCTCTCTTGCAATCCTTTGATCTCCTCCTCAGTGTCCCAGTACTTTTGAATGGCATTATCATAAGTGCTCTTCACAAACTCTTTAACGGTTTGTAGTGTCAGAATCTGTTTCTGGAGCTTGTCAATTTCTTCAAGTGCCTCCTTTTTGTTCAGTCCAGATTTGATACGTTCTTTTGGACCACTCGTTTTAGTGACTACCTTCTTGGTACAAAACTTTTTTGTGGCCGACGATATGACTGTTTTTAAATCTTTTCGTGGTGGTTTTGGAACCTTTGGAGCAGCATTGCTAGGTTTCAACCCTCCTGGTGCTTTTCTGGGAGCTTTGGGTGAACCATCCTCATAATCTTCTTCCATAAATGGCACTTGCTCTGGACAGATAGAAGCAATGGTGTTGTTGGCATTTTGTAACTCTTTTGATATGTGATCATATCGCTCGGCTAAAGCTCGGTAAGCCCGGTATGATTCTTCCACAAAATTAATTAGTTCAGGCCTGCCTTTGTAATACATTTCTGCTCTCTTGGCAAAGGAATCTCCATCTTCCTGCAAGAGTTTCATAACAACTTCCACTTTCTCCTGGAAATCTGGAGTTTTGGTCACCATAATCAGTTTTGCCAGGAATATAGGATATACAAAATCCACAAAATGGATAATTTTTAATTGTTAAGCTTAAGTTGGCATTTCAGTTCTAAGTTTACAATTAAAATAAGATGTGAGTTCTGAATCAGGTGAATGAAATAATATGGGAATTCTGACTCGTACACTAGGTGAATTTATGCCCATCATTGCATCAGGTTTGACCCTCTAATATACAGGCAATGATTTATTAACCTCAAGAAGGTCTGAGCAAAGAATTTTCCCCCGGCCAAATAAATAATACGAAGCAAGTACAATACAATTCTAAGGCAAAAAGAAAACGAGATAAAATTGAAGCAGAAATAGTGTGCCTCAAGACATGAAATGACATGAAACAAGAAGCCAATGGCATTTCTATCTCTTTGACGCTAAAGAAAAATGAAAAGAATGCAAGATACTGATAATCATTCAGGAAAATGTAAAGGAAGAGAAAGAGATGACCTTGAAGGTGCTGTTCCATCCATTTTGATTGCTTTGTTCTGATATGGCTGGCCCACCACCACGAATATGCATTGCTCGCTGCTCGCTGCAACATTGTTCTGACCTCTTCCTCTGATTAATCCCTCTGAATGGAGTTATTTGATGATGAGACGTTGGAGAGACGATGAACCGAAACATGCAAACCAAGTTTGTGTTTGTTAGGATTCTGTCTCACATTCTGTGGAAAGAAGGGGCCGGATTGCATGCATGATGGAGAGGTGTAATAGAGTAACGATAGAGAAAACAAAAACCAAATAGAAAAAAGAAAGAGGGAAAGGATTGAATGGAAAGAGAGAGAGAAAGTGAAAGTGAGAACGTAGAGCTAATAATGGGGTGATGGAGGGGAGAGAACCTCGCCCCAGGTTTATTGGAACAGCCTTCCTTTTCTAATTTCCATTATCCTCTTCCCATCTCCTATGAGTTTTCCCACAAATTACCTAAATTGCTTTGGACGTTTGAACACAAACTAAATCCCACTGTCTGTTTAGGTCATTCCCGCAAAACTCAGGCTTTGAAAAATAACATATTTTGGTAGAGGAGCTTTTTGAATAAGCTCATAAAGACGAGTTCAAGCTTAAATTAGCCTGTAAGTTTATTTGACTGTTTTCTAAACCAAAGCAAAACATACCAGGAAAGATTTCATTAAACTCCCACTAAACTGATTTATTTATAGTTAACCTCTTCAAATTTTAAAACATCAGTTTAGAGTTCCTGTGCATCTCATTTGAGCTAAATTGAAATTCAGTTTTTGAGAGAAATGACACAAATAACCCCAATTTTTTTAAATAAAAAACAACTGATGTATGAAAAATAAATAATTAATATATAAAAATGAATAATTGATGTAGGAAAAAATTAAAACTTTCATTAATAGTATTATACTAATATGAGTAAAAACAAGTGAAGTATAAATAATTTTTATAGAAAAATAAACAATTGATATAACGTAAGTAAAATTTGCAATTCTCATTGACAACATAATATCACTACGATATAAACAAATTAAATTATGCGCAAAGCAACTCGTATAAGAAAATAAATAAGGCCCGTATGCAAAATAAACAACTGACATAAGAAATTGGGGATATTTGTATCATTTCCCTCAAAAACTCAATTTTAATTTTGCCCAACCCATAGGGACTAAGTTGATGTTTTAAATTTTAGAGGAGCTAACTTTAAATAAATTTGCTCTGGGTGGTTTAATGAAATTTGCCCAACTTACAACCAAAGCATCCCATTCTTTTTTTTTTTTAATGGAAAGCCATTAATAAACCGTGCTAATCGACATGATGAGTTATATTAGCATACAAATGATTTCTACAATCAAGAGCACAGTATCAAAAATAATAACATTTAAATTATCGATAGAGGTTTGGTGACTCAACCAATCCGCACAATTGTTTGCTTCTTGAAGACATGATCAAAAGTTATAGTCCAATTACGCATAATGAGATCTTTGATTTTGCTGACAGCAGTAAAAGGTAGGTGATTAATAAAAACTCATTGCGAATTAAGAAAGAGTTTCAATAAAGTCAAAGTAGACGTTAACTTTGTCAAATTGTTCAGTCCAATAGATATTAAGTCCTTTTAAGATATTCACAAGTTCACCTGTCATACTTGGATAATATTTTAGATATTTGGAAAAATCTTTAATTCAATTTTTTGTTTATCCCAATAAGACCACCACAAAAAGTTACAAATGTTGACGAAACTCTATATCCAACCTAACCCATCTTCATATAGGAGAGCATTTATTAGCTTTAGTTCTATCATCCTTTTTAGTCAAAAAGTTAATTTTTGATTGGAGATATTGATCAATAAGAATACTTTATATACTAGTAAAAACAATGTTTTGTCACGAATGTCTTTTTTAAAATAGATATTTTTATATTTTTTTTTCAAATGTTCACACACATGGACAAAGAGTCTTACCAAGAGGTTTTCTTGCATATGTATTGCATGCATCATTGGCATTCTAAATCATTTATATCATTCTTGGCATTCTAAATTATCTAGTCATGTGAAGGGAGAGAAAAGAATAAGTTAATTTTAGATTGTTTTATGAGCATCCTATTCTTTGCTGGCTGTTTTTTTTTTTTTGTTGAAACTCAAACTCCTTTTTTTTCCTCCTCCTTGTGTATATATGATGATGGGAACTAAATAATATTTATATTTTGGATGAGAATAACTTAGACTTGTATCATTTATATTTTATTTTTTAATACAAATTTATGTTTTATTTGTATATTTATATTATTTAGTTTGGACTTTAGAGCTTAATATGATCCTTTTTCTTTAGACATTTATTTGTGGTTTTTTCGAAGTTATATATGTATTATTATAATTAGAATTTAAATTAAAAAATTAAAAGGTTATACAAACTTTCAAGGGATCAAATCAACTAGGCCATAATTTAGATGAAAATGAAAAATTTAAAATGTGTCCCTTATAAGGAGCTTAGCGCATATAAATTGACCCGACTTATTTTGACAACTATACTTATAATTTAAATTAAGAAAAATTAATCATTTAATTTATATAGTTTTGACTCAATTGTAATTTAATTTTTAAATTTTGACTCGTTATAATTCAATTTTTATATTTTAACTTAGTTGTAACTCAATCCCTGAATTTTATTTTTTATAATTTAGTCTCTCTAGTTTCAACTAGTTAAATATTGATCCTATAATTTTAAAAATAAAATTATAAAATTAAAATATTTTAAAATTTTAATATTTATAATATTTATAAAAATTAAAAGGGCTTAGTGATTTAAAAGATTAATAATAAATTTTAACATAATTTTAGTCTTTATAATTTTATTTTTTTAAGATATATAAATCAATATTGAAGTGACTAAAACTATAAAGATTGAGTTATAATAGTTAAAATTTAGAGAATAATTTATAACCAAATAAAATTTTAAGAATTAAGTTATAAAATTAAAATTTAAAAATTAAGTTACAGTTAAATTAAAATTATAAAAATTTAATAATTCATTTTTTCTTTGAATTAAACTAATTTCGTTTATGTATATATTCCAACGGTGGCGGGGGATTTACATTTGGTTAAATGTAAATTATTGACCCATGGAATTTGAACCTTAAACTTAGAATAATTAAATCCAGAGACAATTTCACCCACCAGTTAACCTGGAATAAACATCGTCTCCATGCTCTTGCTGAAACAGGGGGTCAAACGGGAAAGCTCCCTGAACACAGTCCGGCACCGCCTCACCTCTTCCCCGTCAACATCTTTCTCCGAGTGTCACTTTCCAGCGATCATTCTCAGAATAACGTTTAGATTTGTGTGCTCGGAGTCGTCTCCTTTGTTGGTCCTTAATTCATACATCTCTCTCAGTGAGCTATGTACCTCAGCATCTCTGATACCTTGAAACATTTCAAAGCGGCGAATTGAGAGTAACTCGGAGGTTATGATCTTACGCATTTCGTGCCGGAAGAGAACCCAGAATTAGCACAGTCATATCCAGGGATCATAGCAACTGTGAACTTTGGGGCGAGAAGAGAATATGACAGTCATGGGTGGTGAAGCACTCATTGGCTAACTCCCAGCTGCTCACCACAACGGCTTTAAAATTCAAATTGGTCCATGCTTGTCAGCCCAATCTCCCAAGGTTAGTAACTCAGGAGTATAATTCAATGCCTCCATTAAAGCCTTCCAGGTAATGGCCGAGGAGTGAGGAAGTAGGCCAGGGCAGAGGGAGAGAGTGGAACTGCACATCTGGGTCCCACCATTTAAAACGAACGGTGGGAGACAGATTATTCAAGTTTAATTATTGATGTTCAAAATGAATTAATTGCAAAAGTTTAGGATCCAAATTATCTAAGTCTTTGCATTTCATATTTTCACTCATTTACCATTTTCATTTTTAATAATATTCTAAAGGAACTGTGCACTTTTATTCATTTGGATATAGAATATCTAGGTTAAAAGTCATCTCATATCCCCTTTCATTAATTGTTTTCTCCATGAATGCATTGATTAAAAAAAAAAAGGAAAATTATGAACCCTATAAGCTCCGGATTTTATGTAATTTAAAATTTTTAAGTTTTATCCTGTTTAAAGTCACAAAAGTCTATTTTATAAAATCCAACAGGTCCACAACACTTAAAAATGAATGGCTAAAATATTAGATAAAATAAGACTAAAACCTCTTACATTGCTTGTAGTTAGTTTGGATTTGAAATTGATTTTGTTAATTATTATATTATTAAACGCAACAAATAAGAAGAGATCGTTCAAATGAATTAATGATGGAGAGAAAATGGAGAATGTGAGTAATAATGAAAATCTCAACTTAAACTCTCTTGGTTAAAGGATATTTTTATTCCATCATCTATTCATTCAAAAATATTTGATATCCTACTAAACTTACATGTAGTGTAATTTTATTTTCAATATTGCACTAGACACCTTACTATTAAAAAGTTAATTTTGACCATTAGTTAAGCTTAAGAATTTCAAAAAAGACTTGAAAAATTACACAAAAATACCTTATAAAAAAATTAATGCCAATTAAGTCCGCTACATTACATATAAATATTAGGATACTACATAATTAATGGATCACAATCACTAGTAACAATACTAATAAATAATTAAAAAAATAGAAAACATAATCATCAATCTCTATAATTTCATTAGATTTTGTTTTAGTCCTTGGTAGTCTTTCAATGCTTTTAGTCACTATAGTTTCAACAAAATTGGGTGACATTTGTTACTGAGATCCCTATAATTTTAGTGTTTAAAGTCCCTATAAGAGACTAAAAATGTTGAAAAAAATTATAAGAACTAAAAGCAATATCCAATGAAACTATAGGGACCAATGGTTGTGTTTTTTCTTAAATAAATATTATATTTATATCTATAATTTAGAGGACTTCATTGATATTAATTTTGTTATAAGGTACTTTTAAGTAATTTTTAGATCTTTTTTAAAATAAATTTTGAGGCCTTTTTTAAATCTTCTAGACCAACTAACTATCAAAGTTAAGTTTTTAATAGTAGGATGTCTAGTGCATTATTTTTAAATATTAAAAAAATTACACCACATATAAATATAGCAACGAATAGTTAAGTCACAATGATGCCCATTAACCCTTCTGTTATTAATATAGAAACAAAATTCACATACTTTTCTCTTACAAAATATAACTAGGAAATTTCAACCCAAAATTTTGTAAAAATGAGTGATTTTATAAGGTTTAAATTAAAAGTTATTTATTGTGTAAACATTTTAATAAAAGCAGAAATTAATTTGCATTTGGTTATGATCATAAAAAATTGTTAAAATGCTTTTTGAATTTTATAATATTTCATTAAAAATATTTATTATTTAACTATTTTTAAATTTTATGTTATATATGTAACTATATTTATAATATTTTCCCTGATAACATTTTTATATTTAAAAATTTTAAATTAACATTATAAAATTCTGTAAAAAAAATTTCCCCAAAAAAAGATAGCTTTCTCATTTAAAAAAAAAAGACTTAAACAATTGGATCTTAATTTGTTTGCCCTCAAGAGATACGTTAGTTAAGAAAACAAAGCTTAATTTATAAAGTCATTGTTGGGATTGTGGATTTTTTTCCTCATAATAGGGAATTCGATCCTGTTCCTATCTTAACTATACAATAATGTCTTAAAGATTGTCATTTAATTTTAATTAATACTACATCCGTCTCAAATTATAGGATACTTTTAAACAAAATCTCGCATGCCAATAAATCTCATTAAATACACTTAACAACCTTATTTTTTAAAATAAAAATGTAAACTTTCAAAAATATCCTTAATTTAATAACATTAAATCTACACCTAATTAGTATTAAATAAAGAGAGAAAAGATAATATTAAAATAACTGTATTTAATGAAACCTTAATATTCTAAAAATATAGATAAAGGATAATATTAAAATAATTATATTTAATAAAATTTTAATATTCTAAAAATATTTTATATTTTAAGATAACACGTACCATTTAAAAATATCTTATAATTTAATACGGAAGGAGTTTGTTAAAGATTGCTCTTGGACATTAATAATAATGTTAGTAGTAAATAAATAAAAAAAAAGTAGCAGCAGTGGTAAACTGGTAATAATAATAATAATAAACATCATGGTTATCGAATGATAAGATCACAATTACGATTTAAAAAAAAAATGAAAACGCAGGAAAAGTATCTGACACCACATACAGCAGTGTCGAATTACAAATTTGGGAAAAATTACAATTATGTGACATGGATTTTAATATTTGAAACTCTCTCTTTTTTAGGTTTTTTTTTTTGTAAAAATAATATTTTGGCACTCTTACCATTGAAGTTTGAAACCCTCTGAGTCTGACTATCGAATTTTAATATTTTGCACCCACTACCTTAGGTCCCGGCTTCAACGGCGTGTTGGATGTCCTTATTTTTAGATTCACATGTTTTATGCAAAATGCCGAGATACCACTAAGAAAGAGACATTCACTTACTAAATACACAGGACAATATGGTAGATATTTCGTATTTGTGGATAAGCATTCGTCTTTTACAGTGGAATCAAAACAATTTAACCACTTTAGGCTTAAAAAGTGAGAGAGAGAGAGAGAGAGAGAGAGAATAGGTCTCATAAATGCGACACTTGCTATCTTTCTTAATTTGTCATCATAAGCATAGGGAAGCAAGACCTAGTGCCAATGGGTCCGGATCCTTTAATGCCTTCTTGAAAGATGAAGACATAAATAAATAAACTTCATTCTTTATATAGATATATATATATCAACATGTTGTATTACTTTGTGAAATATGAAAGATCTGATTGAGTCAAAGAAAAGAACGTGGCATTTTCTCATCCAAGAAGAGAATCACAAGGCCACAAGAAGGTAGGGACCTGGGAACCCAAGAAAGAAAGCAATGGCTAAAGAACATCGGCTTACCCATTGCTTTCAACCTCAACCTCTATGTGACACCTGCAAGGCAAAGCCCAGTTTCCACCATTGATGTGGTTCTAACCTAAGCTCAAAGACCGCCAATCCCTAGTCTTTTACCCGAATCCCACAACCTGTGGAAACTGTCAAGTTAGGATTGTCTCCAGGTAAGTTTCTCTTTAGATGTACATAAAGCCAAGCCTAAGTTGCGTATATCTGGAGTGGAGATGACAGAAAGAAAAAATAAATCTAAAGAAATCTTGACTGGAAAATTTCATTTGTTATGCAGCATAAGAGGAAAGAGAAGTGCAGAACAAAGAGGCATCTACAATAATGACATATGATTGAACAGAATCACTCATTAGGCCAGAAAATCCATTATTTACATAGATGCAACTAAAAGGCTTAAACCATATAGACTTAGAAAATCATTTATATATATATATACTCATTTATTTATTTTGCTTCGTTTTTTCTTTCTGCCTGTACATAAAGCAGCATCTATAAAGAAGAATATGCAGGTCACATGCCCTGGGATAAAGACCATTCTTCCAAATCCACGGAGTGCTCTTGTTCCTTGTCTCCATAAAACTTCTTCTTTCTTCCGATTCTAGTAGCTCTCTTATCATTTACTAGCTGCTTCTAGCTCTACGTAATACATGCTTTAGTGATAGAACACTGGGTTGCTCAACCCTTGAAGGTTCTTGAGAGAATCCAACCACTGTTCTATGTATTTCTTGCTACCTGCATATTCAACACACAAGAAATATAATAAGTTGCATGGCATATGTCTGCAGCCTCTTAGAGGAGCAGAAGCACTTGTTCTTACCCAAAAAACGTCACCATCATTAATTTCAAGACACATTTTCTTAAAAGCCTTAGTCTCTCCATTAGTTCAAACTTCAAACACTTGCATTTCAAAAAACATATCATCTCGTAAACTAAAGTTTAGTCTAACGGGCAACTCTACTTGATGCACGAGATCAATAGGTCCTTTACTTTCAGGTTGCAACAGGCAAATCGAGCACACAATTATTGAAATTGGTAAGTATAGGTAATAGGTTGAATTGGCTTCATCTGTATTCTGAAAGTACTCCTAAGTTTCAAAAGTCCAAGCTCACAATATAAATTCACAGCCAACTGTAAAGAAAAAAGATCTGTTTTTCACATATGTGCTATTCAGGATCATACAATTTGAGCTTTGACCCAACTATCAAATACGACTTTCTAATTTGTTTCATGAAAATCAAAAGAGAAACCAGTAGTTCTTTGAATGCGACTTTCTAAGGTGGAATTCAGCATCATCAATCAAAATGTAAAGTCAGTGCAATGCCAGATCAAAAATGCATCTATGTAGCATTGTTTTCTCATAATTGATTCTACATGCCAAACCAGATTATAAAAATCTTCAATCATGCATTGCTCAAACAATGCCAGAAAACACCAGTGGCCTACTGCCACAATGGCATCATACACAAGAACACATCCAAGTTGCATAATCATCACAACAATACAGATCAATTTTTTCATTGATGTCACATTAACCTCAAAGCCAGAGTGAAAAAAATTTTGGAACATTATTGCTTGTCTTGGTATATACATAAATGCTAAAAGGCACCAGAGCAGAGACAACTTGGATCGAGAACAAGTAGGCAATTTCAACAGTAATAAAATAAAATAAGAAAAATAATAATTATAAGGTGCAAGTCTAACTCTTGTCTGAAAATTCATCTGGCAGGTTCTTGAAGACACTCAAAAGCTCGTTATCTGAACTCTCCACCTTCTTGCCACCATGTCTATAGCAAGGAACCAGTACTGCGAAACTGTCATCTGACTCTTCATCACTGTGAAAGCTTGGTCCATGAGGCTCCAGCCACCCAACGGAATAGTCAGAATCGTCAGATTCAGACCCTGACAAACACCCACCACCATCTGATGGCACCAGCACGACATCGAATTCTCTATCGATTCTATTCTCTCCTTCCCTGTTCTTCCATTTTCGTTTGACCTTCCTGTGAGATGGTGGTACAATCTTTGTTTCCTTAACCTTATGCAACTTCTTAGACTCGCGTTTCTTTAGAGGAAAACCCAATTCAGAAGATGAATTCAGAGTAGTGCTATTAGAAACAGACTGTTCCTCCTTGCCACCCCACAACCAGTTAGAGAAACGGGTAAAAGAGATAACCATACTTCAATTTCAAAAGTGATTCAAAGCTGAAGGGGTTACGATGAATCAAGACGCTCTTTTGGAAGCCGAAGATTTCTAAGAGAATAAGGGAAGGGCCAGAGTTGAAGAACGACTAATTAAGAGACGGAAATCCGAGTGGTTCCTGCCTGTTGCAGTAACCACTAAATTAGGATATGATCCATTAATAAACAACAAAAGCAGAGATCAATTAAGGAACGGCCTAAATACATTTATTTCCAACAAAAACATTAATATCAATGATCATTAAAAGTCAGATCTTTTAATAAGTAAAGGCATGACGACACATGCAGTAAGTTTGAAAAGATTTCCTCAAATATCAATCAATTCGGTAAGTTTAAGAGACATAATAAAAATAAAAATAGAAAAACAAGTTAATTAACTGAAAACAGTTCAGGTTTGGAAGATCATTGCCAAAACTTGAATGTCAGCAAAACGATAAAGAAACCCAAAATTGCCGTCATCAGGATCCGATATTCCCAGAAATAAACTGGAATGTTCGTAATCGGAAACCCACAAGAATCAATTTTTATCTTTTTCCAAAAATAAAAGCCATGAACCCCAGTTTTCAATCAAAATGCCATTAGTCATGCTCGGTCTTCTTAAAACAAATTCCAATAGAAGACTGGAATCAAACCCAACATAGCAAGTAGACGTTAGAGTCAAGCCCTCGGGTCAAAATCGGAATACCCGGAAAAAATTATCAAAGAATCAAAATCTTTCCTCACGTCACCGAAAATATCCGAAATCTCTCACCGGAAAACCAAACCTACAGGGCTCTTCCAAACATCTATAATCTATGATATCCAAGGAAGGAAGGATCGGAGCAAAAGTTCCCTCCAGAAAAGTAATGAAGAAGAGAAAATACAAAGAATCAGATTTTAGAACCCCAGTAAATAACTAACCCTCCCTCGTCTTCTTCCTCCTCCGGACCCCCTCAAGGTGTTCACTGGAGAAAATTTGATCCAACTGGCACTCCAGGAGTACATGAGTGGATTTATTTACACAAGAGCCAATTTCAGCTTTTCTTCGTCATCACATCTAACGGTAGAGATCGCACGATGAGTTCTCATCTACAGCATGTGATGGTCTTATCTTAACCTCAATCACTTTAAAACGAGCGCCTATAATTGTTGGCATAATCAACAAATATTAGAGTTGGCCGAAAAAAAAATAAAAATAGACGGTTGATTAAGAAAAGTAAAAAAAAAAAATTAAGAAGAAGATAATGATTCAGTGCAAATTTGTTGATGTGGATACGGGCCGGCGAAGCCCATAAAACTCGATTATCCCAATTTTATCTTAAAATTAAAGTCCAACCCTTATTTATAGGGCTCAAGGTCGGGCCCGTAAGCCCAAATAAAAATAAAATAAAATAAAATAAAATTTAATATTAAAATTTATTTAGAATATTTTAAAATTTAACATATATCAAACCAAAGTCTCACATAATTTAAAAAATGAATAAAAAATTTAAAAGTCCAAATAAGATGAAGGCAAATATCATCAACAATCCTAATTAAGATCTCCCTCATTATCATCCATAAATAAAATATTAAAACCCTCAGATGTAGGTCCACTTGTAAAACATGGAGGCGAAGGTTCAATATTAATTATTTCTGCAACTTCTTCATCATCACCTACAATAATTATTAATTAAATTGTTTTATTATCAAATATATATCTATACATATATCACAAGATAAAATATAAAAATTACTATAAAATGGTACAAAACAATTCAATCAATTGCTAGTACAAAATACAAATCAATGTTTGCGCATTATCTGGAAAGAGTTGAAAACAATACTTTGTGAATAGTAAAACAGGCTTCACGGGTCGCTCGGGCCTGAGCCCGTTTTTCTAAGGCTTATAAGAGCTGGGATTCGAAGCCCGATTACCCTAAAAAATACTAAATTTTTAAGGCCGAACCATTATTAAAACAAGCTTAAACGGTGACCCGTCAAGTCCGGCCTTTATTCTCGACTCTAGATGTGGATGACCATAACCCCATTGAAAAATTGCTCGAGGTTTAGTTGGTTGACACATGTCAGCTTGTTCGGCCATAAATCTATTCTTCAAGAATCTGAAAAATCTTCTCAACAAGAACTTAATTGTTACTATCGACTTGATTTAAACATGTGATTGCTCAACATGCCTAAAAATGTTATCTCGTACACATATACAAATATCTATAATCGTCGTCGTTGATATAATCATCAAATATTAGACGATTGATTAAGGGAGGCAAAGAAAAAAGAAAATGATTCTGTACAAATTTGCTGACATGGTTGACTAGAACCCCATTGAAAACCTACTTGTGAAGTTTAGTTGATTGACACTTGTAAACTCCGTCAACCAATGATCTATGCCCCAGGAATGTCTTTTTAACAAGAACTTAAGTGTTGTTTTTTTTTTTTTGTGTGCCACTTAATAAAATCAATGATAATATCTAGAAATGAGCAGTAATGCATTCAGACATATATATTCTTGGACTCAACTAAAATATTTAAAGACTTGTGGAGTGTTTTTGTTTTTTAGTAATTACTGTGTAAGGTATATTGCATTACACTGTTTTAAAAAATATATATTGTAGAATGTATATGAACTGTTGTGACATAAATAAAGAATCTAGAAAACGTGATAAAATGTTAGATAAGGGAGGGCATAAATACTGGAGGAAAGAAAGAGGTTTTGAATTAAAAGTGGGGATGATAAAGTGATTAGTTTGAAGAAGATGAGGAAGGCACGAAACAGGTTCATGATGTTAAATAATGACGAAATTGCCAAGCTTCTACGAAAGTGAATAAAAGTCAATCTTCAGATTTTCCAAAGGGAAAGTGTTGGTGATTGAGTATACAATACCCAAAGAATATGGCAAATGGGAATATCTTTAATCGTCAACGTAATATTTTCAACCAAAAAGAATGGCTAAATGTAGACACGTTAATTAAGCGAATATTTTTTTGCTCAAAAAAAAAGGAGAATAGTTGTCCCCAAAAAGAAGAAGAATTCCTTCTATATTTTACCGATAATTGTTGGATAAGAGCTTCGATTAAGTAAAAGAGATTTGCTTCAACTTTTAAATAAAGTTTAAGATTTAAAATTTTTGGTTGAAAGAAAATTATACTAAAAAAGCTATATTTGATTGTGGCCGACAACATTTTAGTGTGACTCAATAATTGTGCGAATCATATAATTGCATATTAGGGAGAGAAAAAACTTCCCTTTAATTCAATTTTGCAACTTTTCCCCGCCTATAGTCCTCTATCTATGTTTAGGGTTTCATACTTATCCAATGCTTTTCAGGTCGTTGACAAATGGTTACAAAAAAGAAGACTTTCTTTTTCATTTTTTCTTACTCGCAAAAGAGGCATTAATACTTTTGTTTTTTTGGCTCGTACAAGTCTAAATATCCCTCAACGAACGGCGAAAGAGGAGAGCAATGATAGACATCAATGAATGTGGCTAGCAAAGGAGGCTAATAGATGGTGGTGGCAAATGGTAGTAAATGACAAACGATAATGGCCACTAGTGGGGGAGGACATTGACTAGTGTCAAACAAAAGGTGGTTAACAATACCATTATTGTTTATGGTACGTAGATGATTGTCAATGACAAAGAAGGATGGTAGTTAGTAATGGACAATGGGATTGGTGCAGCAGAGGAGAATAGTAGATGGTGGTTGCCAATTGTAGCCAGTGGTGAAGGGCTGTGATCGATGACTAAAGAGGAAGGCATGGCTGACAACAAAGGAAGATGGTGATCAACGATGAAGAATGGTAATCAGTAGTAGAGGATGATGGGCAATGGCAAATAACAAGGATTGTCATTGAGTGAGTGGTGATGGAATAAAAGGATGATGATTATCGGCAAAGGAGGATTAATAACGGCAGTTGCAAGTAGTGGTCAACAATGGTGTGAATAATGAGGAGTGTTGGTGGCAGTGGTCGATGATAATTAAAAAAGAATGCATGAAAAAAATACAATCAAATGTGTAGCATGATAATCTAAAAACTTTTACATTACATTATCTCATGATGGAGGTTAACCAATTGGGCCTTAAATTATTAGCCAATCAACTATGCTCAAATCATATATAACTGTAATGTTTTTAACAAATTAAATAAAAAAATATTAAATTAAAGTCTAAAAGATGTATTAGCATGGTTAATTGAACTTGAATCATTTGCTAACTGTTAAAAAATCTATATATTGTACTAACAATATTAGATCTTCCCTATTTGTTTTGCTAACCACACTAATGGATAATATTATTAACAAATTAAAGTGTAATAATTGATTAGGATCTCTAATTGAAAAGATATTCACATTTAGAATTTAACTATACCTTAAATATGATTAATTTTAATGAGAAGATATTTGTGCTCAATAAAAAAAGTGTGACCAAGATTGATAATTGTAAAGTTTAACACATGATTATAAAAGTACAAACATACATTAACTGCGATGAAAATAAATGTTAAGAAAAAGGCATATATTAGAAACTACACGAAATTAAATAAGTGGGAAAGTGGGCTTGGAACTTTGGTTGTCCATTTTCATTAGCACAAAGCACATCATCATTCAATAACGGACCATGATAAATAAATCTCTTTTCTTAATTTTTCTCCTTTTGCAATTCAATCAAGGAAGCGACAGGGGAAGATCCTCTTAATTTACATTTCTGCCCAAAATTCTATGATTGCTCAATTGAAATTAAATTCTATTGCCGACCATTTGTGTGCTTTCTGAAAGGCATAGCATATCTTTTAGGGCCATCCACTAGTATTTGCATCTTGTTCCTTGTGTAGTTTTAAATTTACATGTAAAATGGCTTTTCAAGAACCCAAATACTCAAAATGCCCATATATAATTTATTGATTTTCATTCTTCTCCCTGCAACTTATCCATCAATACACTAAACCTTCCCACACTAAATTATAAAAGAGAATGATATTTTAGGCACCCAGAGATCAATTGAATGGTTAGATCCCAACAAATTTTGGTAAAAAAATTAGTTGTGAATATGAGTCAAGTAGCTGTAAATATGATAATCTGAATTCGAAATCAAATATCTAAGTCTTATAAGTCACATTTAATGATTTGTAATTGAGAATTTTAAATTTGTAACTATATGAACTAATATTTTTAAACATTTAAAAACAAATGAGAATCTAAAAAAGAAGATTTATGATTATTTTGATAAGCTATTTTAAGGAATAAGTTCTCAAAATAATAGATGCAAATATGCAATAGTTGAGGGAGGATGTTGTAAAAATAATGCGCGGATATTTCATAAAATTTATGATTGAGTAATTTACTAAATTATTTTTTTATTATAGTAGCCAAACACAATATAATTTTTGCTTTTTATAAAATCTCAATATTATTTTTCATAAAATTCAAACAAAGGGTTCCGAAATATTCAAAATTCAATTATATATATATAAGGGTAGCAATATGTAACGACTATTTTTTTCTATACCTTTTTAATGTATTATATAAAGTCAGTCTTGTGATTAGAATATATGCAATGCCTACTCCTTTCATTTAAAAATATAAAACATTTTTTGAGGAGTTGGATGTTTAAAAATGTAAAGTATTTTTAGTCTTTCGAGGTGCAATTATTACCTTTTTTTTAAAAGCACTCCTATTGATGTGACTTTATATTTATTATAGGATAGTTAATAAGGATAAATATAAAAAGATAGGGTTAGTTTGAAAGTATATAAAAATTTTATTAAAGGTGAGATTCGGTTAAAAATATCTTAAATTTTTGAACGGAGGGAGTATTTTTATTATACATTTTTTGTCCCTGTTTTTTTGCTATTCTTATCTTCAAATACTGTTGTTCTTTCACGTTTAATGAAATATTCATTGTTGATAAAAAAAATTAAAATACATACAGGTCAATACTCTCTCGTTCAAAAATATAAAGCATTTTTTGAGAAGTTAGATGTTCAAAAATGTAAAACATTTTTAGT